TCTCCAGATATTTTCATTTTCTGAGAACATTGCTGTTTTTTTTTTTTTTTTTTAAAGCAATACCGGGGTTCTGTCATATTGAATTTCAAAGGTGTCTAGGGCAAGGTTAACAATGGTGATAAACGTGCTAGGAAGAAAGCTAGTTGGGTTTTTTGTTTTTGTTTTTGTTTTCAGTAGGCTTACAGAATTTTCATTTGGAAGGTGCTAAAGAGGTTCATTGTTTGCCCTGGGGAAGCCTAATATCTAAACAGAATTAGGCCGAATTGTACGGAATCGCAAAAAACCTTTAGACTTTGACCTCTCCCTCTGAGCTCTGGCTGATGAAGAATTCTATTTTCTCCAGGGTCTAATCATCCCTATGTGTTCCCTTTGTTCTCATCATTAGCCCCTCCAATGTCAGAGAAGGGAGCTACTGACACCTTTGTGTGTTCTTTCTGCTGGAGGCTCCTGTGATTAGGATATTGGTAAGGAAGAAAGTGAAGCAAGTATATTTCTGTAATATAATTATTAATAGTAATTATTATGATCTTGATAATAGTAATCATTTGACTTAAGTATTATCGAGCTCTTTGTCAAGATTTACCCACACACATTGACTCATCAACAGAACCTTATAAAGTCATCACTATCACCATTTTTCAGTGGAGAAAAATGAATCTCCTCCAGGTTAAGTAGTTGCCTAACATCAGATGGCAAGTTAACAGCTATGCCATGAACCCACTACTCTGACTCTTGACCTTATTTTTAGCAAGCATTCACTTATACTATTTCTCTGTGGTATAGTGAATCTACTTTTGAAGTGTGGATGTATAAAGTTATGTGGACATGTTTTGGGTTACTGGAAGTTTGGGAACAGCTTGAGACCTCTGGAATTGGAGTTACTGCAGCGTCAAAACAGTGAAGATAGACAGCAGTAATTGAGACTCGGTGTCTGTTTTTAATAAACTGCCATAGCCAAAATAATTATGGATTGCCAATGTTGTAAGTGTTCTGAAAGAATAGGAGGCTAGAATACTTACACCAGGAGAGCCTGATCTTACCTGAATATGTACATTTTTTTGTTTGTTTGTTTGTTTGTTTGTTACTTTGTAGTAGACTCTGCCTCTCATTCTAGATGCTAAGCAGAGTTGTTCCTCAATATGTGTGGGACAGATTGGTTCCAGGGCCCTTGAGAATACCAAAATTCACAGATGCTTAAGTCCCTGATATAAAGTGGCATAATATATGCATATAACCTAAGTACATCCTGTCTGATGCTTTGTCATCTCTAGATTACTTAAAATATGTAAAGCAATGTAAATGCCATGTAAGTAGCCGTTATACTGTTTCTTTATTTGTATTGTTGCATTGTTTGTTGTTTTAGAGTTTTTTTCCAAATATTTTTGATCTGCTGTTGATTGAATTCATGGATGTGGAATTCAATCGGCACATAGTTAGGGCCAACTGTCTACTTTTTTCCTTCCTTCCTTTTCACTTAGAAAAAGGACATATGAACAATAATGGTCATTTGGCGTAAGGCATCTGTGGAGGTGCTTCTGGGAAATATTCTGGATCCTAACAAAAATGTACATGGGGAAATGTGCCACCACCTCCTGCAGAATCCAAGCATCTTCCTGCAATACCTGCTTCTGCTGTAGCTGTCTAGTGAACATGAAGGGACAGCAGACAGGGAATACTACAAACTGGATGAGATTACTAAACACCTAAATTAACTCTGGAACTCCATCTGCAGATGGCTTGTTATATAAGGAAATACATTTCTCACAGTCCAAACCATTTACATTGCAGTTTCTGTTGGTCTTAGTGCTACCCTCTCAAGGATGAGCAGTGGTTGACTAAGTGGAAAAGTCATGAAGAGAGCTCCAGGCGAGGGACTAGCACAATGGAAGGCCCAAAGGTTGAAGGGGTTTGTCCTATTTGTAAAATAGAAATAAGAGCAGTGTGGAATAGTTAAAACATGGGAGAGAAAGTGGTATATGCTGAAACTGGAGAAGTAAGCAGATATCAGACTCTGCAAGGATTGGAGGCCGGGGCAAGGAGACTGAACTTGATCTTAAGAGTGGGGAATTTAAAAAAATATTTCAAGTAGAGAAATGATCTAATCAGATACACACAGTGTCTTGGAGCAAGCTGAAGCATTGGTGGAAATGGGAAGAAAACTAGGTAGTGGAGAATGGAGAGGATGACTTGAAGTGTGGTCACTCAGGCAGGAGAAGAGACCACGCCGGGACTGGTAGATTATATCAAGGCCAGGAGCAGGCCTGCCCACATTGAAATGGGCATGGTATCAGCAACTCTGCCTATAGGCCCCTGGTTCCCAACCTCAGCTCCAAAGGCACAGATGTGTGACCATGTGGATCGTCAGAACACTGATTTAGTCTAATTTTCTGTCTCCCTCAAACCCTGTTGTATTTTAGAAAATGTGCTGTGGATACTTGGAGAGGTTACGGGCCTACATGTGCCCAGAGTCTCAAGTGAATTCGGGACGTGTCTGGATCTGGCAACATCATCTCAACTCAGGTAAAGCAATCTTTCTAATTGACTGTTTCCCAGACATAATTCCTAGAAAATTCATAGACTTGAGTGGAATCATCCAGTCCAGAGTGTTTTTAATTCATAAATACATGGCAGTACTGTATTAATGTTTGTCTACTGAACAGTTGTGATACTCCTTAATTTTTTTTTCTTTTTCTGTACTGGCTGCTGCTGAGCAGGGACCAAAATATAGATTGTGAGATAAGGAACATAAAAATGATGGGGAAAGAATACTGGGAAAAGTTAGAAGCTGGCAATTGTCACTATGCAAGGTCTAGGCAGGTAGGGTAAAGGTGAGCAGTCAGGTGAGAACTGAATAACACAAAGCTCTAAAGTGACAGCCAATATTCATTAGTCAGCTGTGTCTAATTGGGAATATGGGGTGTCAGGTGTGGCTGTGAGAATGTGGGTGTTTGTTTGCCAGATCGTCCCATTTTTCAAAAAACCTAGAAGTTTGGATTTACATGTGGAATGCTTTGGTATTTAAGTATTTGCTTAAGTTGCTATAAAACACTTTGTAGGCAACAATGTTAAAAATCTCAATTTCTGTTTCTGGGGAGGAGTAGTTCTAGATTTTTTTTTCATTTGTTTTATTTAATAATTTGCCTTTTAGAGGATAAAATGTGTGTTTATAGATCAAATGTAAAGATAATTACTGATATAAATGTAAGTTATATTAAACTTAGAGTCCAAAAGAAAGTTAGATGAACAAGCTATATTAGTTTCTTGTGGCTGGTGTAATAAATTTCCACAGACTTGGTGGTTTAAAACAACAAATTATTTTCTCATGGTTCTAGAGGCCAGAAGTCTAAAGTTAATTTTCTTAGGTTGAAATCAGATGTCAGCAGGGCTATGATTTCTCCAGAATATCTTGGAGAGAATCCGTTTCTTTCCTCTTCAGCTTCTGGGGTCTATTGGCACTCATTGGCTTGGCTACATCACTCCTATCTTCAAAATCATCATCTTCAAATCTATTTCTTCTTTATATTACCTTATCTGTGTCTATCAAGTCTCCCTATGCCTCTCCTGTTAAAAAAAAAAAAAAAAGGTGGGTAGGGGATTGAATTTAGAACCTACTGATAATCCAGGATATCTTCCTCATCTCAAAATCTTTAATCACATTTGCAAAGATACTACTTACATGTAAAGTAATATTCATAGCTTCCCTTAATAGGACATGTGTGTCTTTTAGGCAGCCGTTTTTCAGTCTATTGGGCAATGACTGAAATTTGTTAATTTAGGAAGGTTTTATACTTTATTACATATTTCAAGTCACAGCATACACCCTAGGATAATACTTGATATCAGAAATGCAATGGTTGCAGGTATAAATGCATATATTATCTTGAAATTGTTTTTAATTTCAGTATATCTTACTGACTTTTCAGAATCAACTAGATCTTCATTGCTTCCACTCTATTATGTGGCAGATTAAGGGTATTCCAGAAGCAGCAGCTCTGCCATTTTCTTTGTTTACTGGTGCCTGCATTATCAATATTATCTTCAATCTGAGGTTTCTTTTCACTGATCTTTTATTTTATTTTATTTTATTTTATTATTTATTTATTTATTTATTTAGCAGCTACAGTGAAACCAATGTGGAATGAGTAGCTCATAGTACAGACTTTTGGTTTTGTTTTCTGTTTTGTTTTGTTTTTGTTTTTGTTTTGTTTTTTTTAGAAGAAGAAAGAGAGAAACAGAAAGAATAAAAGAAAAAAAAAGAATGAAGAAGAGGAAGAAAGAAGAAGAGGAAGAGGGAGAGAGAACAGGGGTGTTGCTTTATTGCTCGGGCTAGAATGCAGTCTAAAAATGCGTATGCCTGTAATTGTGTTTAATAATGGAGACATGAAAAAATAAATGAGGGAAGAAAATAACTAACAAGCAGCCAACCAATATTTCATTTAAACCTGTAAATAGGTATGATGTGGTACTGATAAGAGTATATATTTTGTATATTTAAAGTGGAGAGTTCTATAAATGTTAATTAACTCTACTTGTTCCGGATCTGAGTTCAAGTCCTGGATATTGATGTTAACTTTCTGTTTCATTGATCTGTCTAATATTGATGTTGAAGTCTCTCACTATTATTGTGTGGGAGTCTAAGTATCTTTATAAGTCTTATATATCTGGGTATTCCTGTATTGGGTGCGTATATATTTAGGATCTTTAGCTCTTCTTGTTACATTGATCCTTTTATCATTATGTAATATCCTTCTTTGCTTCTTTTGATCTTTGTTGCTTTAAAGTCTATTTTATCAGCAAAAATTGCAACTCCTGCTTTCTTTTATTTATTTTTGCTCTCCATTTGGTTGGTAAATTTTTCTCCATCCCTTTGTTTTGAGTCTTTGTGTATCCTTGCATGTGAGATGGATCTGGATGTAGCATACCAATGGGTCCTGGCTTTTTTTTTGCCTGTCTGTATCTTTGGATTGGGGAATTTAGTTGATTTAAATTTAGAAGAAGCCTGCTTCTGTTAATGGAACACAGTCTTTCTCCATCAGGCTTTGTGCTGATGAAGAACTGTGATCCCCCGTAGAGGGAGAGGCATTCTGATTTTGGGTATTCTCAGCATTTTTAGTCTGGTTTCTTCCCTTTGTAATAGATTTATCCATCTGTGGTCTTTATAATTACCGTCTTTATAGTTGGGTTTCTGAATGGACGTCCAACTTGTTGATTCCTGGCGCTAAAATCTGAGCAACCCGCTGCGCCCGCCAAAACAGCGGCGTTAAGATTGATGGTGCTTTTCTGACTCTGCACCAAGAACCACCGCATAAGGCAGTGGCAAAACCGCCTCGCTGGCCACAAGATTCGTGCTGGCGACCCGTGGGGCTCCTCTGGTGGGAATCTCCTGGTGCGTGAGCAACAAAAATTGATCTGAAAATGTAGCGTCCTCTCATTCTCTGTGCTTTCAGTGGGAGCTACAATCCTGAGCTGCTAGTGATCAGCCATCTTGGATCTCTCTCCTTCACTGATCTTTTAAAGCCACTTGTTCATTCTGTAAAGGTTAGTTTAGCTAAAACTAGATAAGCTAATCTGTAAATCAGCTTAAGCTAGCACAGCTGAAGTATAACATTTTGCAATATACTGATTGCAAAAAATGAGTGAAATTATCCTTGTCAACCCCTTTATGTCATAGAAATCCCGCCTTGCCTGGAGTTGCCTGAATGTCATCTGTGACTTACGACATCTGACACCAGGGCAGGGTGATGGTGCTAGTGTCAATGCAAGTATGAAATATTAGTGAAATTCAATGTCTTAATTTAGATTAATGCTATATGTAGGTCTTAGATCGGGTTCCCTAGAAGCAGAGAGACCCTTAGGTGGGGATTCTTGACAAGTGATTTATTGAGGGAGTGCTCTAAAGAGAAACCTGTAAGAGAGGGAGAGGAGCAGAACAAGCAGGGGAAGAGGCTGGGAAGGACATGATTTCAGGAGAAGTCTAGCCTCAGTGTGATTTCACAAGAAGCCCTAGAATGTAAATTGTACCAAAATGGTTGTGTCTCCCAGAGGTAAGGGGGTCTGGAGTATTATACCCCAGCATCAGTGATTAATTATGACAGCCAATCCCAGGAAAATTAAACCTCCTAGGCATGCTCTTAGCAAGGTGGTTCCTGTCAGTTGAGAGGAATCCACTGGAGAATATTGTAGGTGGGAGCCATTAGCAGTTATCTGCCGCAGCTTGGGAACAGGTGACCCTGATAGGTGAAAGAAAAAGTGGTGGGACACTACCAGCATGCATTCCAATATTAGTCTCTAGTCTTTTATTACAGTAGCTTCTTTTTAAGACCCTTGCCTAGAGCAGGGCTTCTTAATCATGTTAATGGTGATATTTTTGGCCAGATAATTCTGTGGTGTTGGGGGCTGTCTTGTGCATTGTGGGATCTTTAGAGATATCCCTGGCCTCTGCCCACTAGATAGCCACTAGTAATCCCTAATTCCCTGCCACCAAACCCTGTGATAAAAAATGGCTCCACTGTGGGAGAAATAAATTTTCTCTCAACACAGACATTTCTCCACATCAATGTATTTTTTTAAAAAATGGTTTACTATTAAATAAGCAGAACAGCCTACATGCATTTAGGTAGTCTATAAAAGACTACAAAGCCAATAAAATGCTACAAAATGTACACAGCAAAGCAGGTGCTAAGTTCTCTTGGGAATTAAGGTAGCTATTACTTACTTAATTATCTCTTGAAAGAAAAATAAAATGACTTACCTCCCCAAAAGATGCCTTTAGTCTTCCTGAAAGACAATTATATCTGGAGGTGCACTTCTATGTTTACTCCATAATGGTTCTCTTATGTTTCAAGGGTTAAAGATCTGTGGCCTTGGAGACATCTCTGCATTGTAGACTAGGCTTTTCTGGTCCCTGGAGAAATTTATCTATAGTCCTAGGGTTAGAAAAGATTCAGGTTCACCGAATTCTCAAGGAGACTCGAATTTCAAGAAGGGAAGAGGAGACAGCTGTTTCCTTTCTCTTTATAAGCAAATAAAAAACATTTATTAATTTCCTTTCCACCAGTTGTAAGATTGTCAAATGTCTCCTGAGGGACAAATGGACCCCAGTTCAGAACAACTAGCCTAAAGCATGGAGTGTTGCTGAAATGGGGTGAAATGGAGTGACAAATTCAGCAGTCAGGTAGCATCAAAAGTCAGGTGAAATCAAAATGAGTTAGAGGAAGCCCACAAACCCGGAAGAAAAACAAGGTTTGCTTATAACACAGTTTTGTCTTGAATCAAAGCTGCCGTTTTGGTGGTTTTATTTAGTTGCTATTAAATCTTTATTACTATAAAGGCTTGATATTAAAACAGAATAAAAGTGAAGTTCAATAAAGGGATGAGTTTTATTCATCATCTCCCTCTTTTTCTGTTTTGGACCCAGGCATTGGAGATACTTCCCCCTCCTCTGGTCTGGAATAGACTTAATGGCTGTATTTTACTAATTGTCTTTTGTCTGCCTTTATTCTCTTTGTTTTGCTTGTGAATTGCTTTTGAATATCTTGCTGACTTTTTTTTTTTTTTGGTGGCATTTTATGGCTACCTGATAAAAATCTAGTCTTTTATGCATAATATGATGATGTGTAAAATCTAGTTTCCTTCATCAGTCGTATAATACATATAACTTGGGTTCTTTAAAAGCACAATGCCAGATTTAAATATGGCAAGAAACCGGTAAATCTACAATGGCTAGCAATATCTTACATTCTCACATCTTAATTAGGGGTGCTGTATATGTCATGGGACATCAGGAATAACCTAGAAAGGCAAAACCAACAGGACTTTTATTCTGATTCTTAAGGGATATGGGTTATGATGAAAGGAAAATGAAGGTAAAAGGAAAATAGAAAAGACAAAGTAATATTGGGTGGTGAACCACATATAAAATCTTTGTGGATGTTCCTTGGGAGCAGAGTATTTCCTTCTCCCAATTGTGCCAATAAAATCTCCTCAGACACAGTTGTCTCTTGAATTTTTATCTTATACTGTTCAGATACCATAAGCTTAGAAAAGAGGGCCTTGGCACAGGTCTCCGGCATCGATTCATGAAATATTTGAGTATTTGAATGGCATCTCTACATGCACAGCACTGTTAGAATCCTGGGTATATATCTGGATAACCTACCCATACATTTGGCACTGTTTCAGTGCAAATAGGTAAATGCCAACTCCTAGTTCAAGCAGTAATAGAGGTGTGTGAGAAAGAGGCAGCAACTAGTCAAGATACAGATGACTAAGTATGAGCTAACTAGTTTGTTTAGACCCACAGAGGGTGCTTGTAGCCTATTTTCTCATCTGTTTATTCCCTCTTCCTAGTTCTCAGTTTGTAACATTGTAGAAGAAAAAAGTTGTGCACCATAGTGGAAAACTACACATTATCTATAGCATACCCTTTCACCTTATGCTTTACATTCTGATTCTATGGGAGCTATTTTAAAACTGAAAATTGTAGGTATCTAATAGGCATGCAAATTCTATTCTATTTGATAGAGGTTTACTTCCTTCTCTGCTCCTCCCCTGTGAGGAGGTAAGTGTGCTTCCATTTGCAATTCATTTCAAGACCCCTTTACTCCATATAAATTTGTGCTTTTTTGACTCTTCCTGTGTACAGGTTGTACATCTGCTGGCTCCATTATGAGTAAACAAAATCTCTAACATTTTTATATTTGTATGAGAATCATAATTTTACCTCTTCCTGAAAATTGTTTTAATAACAGACTTACCTCATTTTGGCTCTGGAGTGCTGGAAGTATATGTTCTAAGCAGGGGTCCCCAACTCACAAACCGTAGACCACTATGGGTTCATGGCCTGTTAGGAATTGGGCCACACAGCAGGAGGTGAGCAGTGGGCAACTGAGCAAAGCTTCATCTGTATTCACAGCCTCTCCCCTTCACTCGCCTTACCGCCTGAGCACTGCCTCCAGTCAGATCAGCAGTGGCACTAGGTTGGCCTCATAGGAGCACAAACCTGACCATGAGCTGTGCGTGGAGGGGATCTAGGTTGCGAGCTCCTTATGAGAATCTAATGCCTGGTCATCTGTCCCTGTCTCCCATCACCCCCAGATGGGACTGCCTAGTTGCAGGAAAATAAGCTCACTGCTCTCCCACTGATTCTGTATTATAGTGAGTTGTATAAATATTTCATTATATGTTACAATGTAATAATTACAGAAATAAAGTGCTAAATACATGTAATGTGCTTGAATCATCTTAAAATGATTCCTCCCTGGTCTGTGGAAAAATTGTCTTCCACAAAACCAGTCCCTGGTACCAAAAAGGTTGGGAATGTCTATTCTATAGTTGATGAAAACTAGGGTTGTGTTAGGGTGTGGATATGTCACATAAGTAGATAGAATTGGAAGTTAGGGTTTTTTTCCCCTCATCCCCCACTACACACATACAAACACAGCTTAGTTGTGGCCAGTTGCTACATCACACCAAAAACATTCTGTTTTACTCCATCTACTTGTATGGGCACAGTTTATTTCTTATTCTATTCCCTGTAAATAGGAGAGAAATCATGAATTTTGTCCCATTGCTTTGACAGTTTTGTCCCATTGCTTTGACAGTTCAAAAGACTCAGGGCTTAAAAAGTTAGGAGAGCTCGGTTTTATGAACTGATAACAAGTCTGTTTGTTGGAATTACTTGTTTTTATTTTACAGCATGGATGAAATCATCAACTATTGAATAATAAATTCATCAGCTTAGATGTTTGGAATAAAGGAAAGCAATGGATAGTAATACCAAAATAAGCGATTTAAATCTTATGTTCCCCTGATTTACAGAGCCATTTCTCCTGAGAATATGTCAGGGTCAGTTTAATCTATGAAAATCAGATATGCCATTCCAGCCACTCTGCTTCTACAAAGTTCTGCTTCACTGAAGAATCACATCTGAAAAAATATATCTTCTTGGCAGGGCCATTATCTTTCTTGATGAGATATGAGCATATTAGAGTTGATTCTGATGTGAAATTACAGATGGTGTTAGATTGAAAGAAAGATAAAATAAAAATGAATTAATTTCAAACTAATAAGACATGACATCAGAGATGTGGGAGATCAATGAATCTGTCTTATACCTTATTTTTAATACATAAAAATCAGAAACACCTGGGAAATGTCTTGTGTTTAGATACAAAGTAAAAGTCCAATATGTTTAGAAGTATCTGGAGGCCAGATTGCATTTATTTGTGGAAGGGTGAGGTGCTATTAATACAAACTCAAAGGTTTATTGAAAGTAAGTGTAAGATAGTTTCACATATAAAACATGTCCCTAATTTTCAGATACTCTTGTTTTATAATAATAAAAATGGAGAGGACCTTGTACTAAAACATGAGCAGCTTTTTGGTAAACATTTTTTGATATTTGATTTGGATTCTGTAACTTCACTGAAAATAGAATTTTAATCCTATTGATTCAGAACATCAGTAGAGACATAAGTAAATCTATTACTTTGGAAACACTATTCCCTTTCCAGCTCTGAACTTCTGAAATTACTTTTTCTTACAGTCTATCATTGCGAATATTATTTTGTCTGTTTGTACAATAAGTGGACTGTTGCATTAAGGTTCTGGGATGAACTTGAGAAGCCATGTCAGCCTGTGAAGGTCTGAATAAAGCTGAAGTGGAAGATAATTGCTTGTTAATTTTACTTCCTTAACAAAGAGGGGTGACAGTGACCAGGGAGGAAAATAGTGCCAGCAAACAAATGTATGTATTGAGTGCTATGTGTGACAAATAATAACTGAGGATTTGATGGTGAAGATTCAGAGTCAGATTTCGTCTTCACAGAGTTGAAGGTTAATGGCGAAGTCAGAAATTAAATAGCTTACAAATAAATACTTCTCTTCACATCAATACAAATATGGGCACTGAAAGCTCTCTTTTAACCAATTGTTTCAGGGCCTTCCCTAGAAAGGTATTTTTTCTTCCCATGTTTTCAGTGGTGTAAGCCTGATGTTAGCAGACATGAGTTATGTTATTTTCCTCTCCGTAGTTCTTTTCTTATAGAACCACCAGTGATTAATGATGCAGACAAAAGGACAACCACATGGAAGAGGGAGCAGAATAGCAGACAGGAATAGAGGAGGAACTAATGCTGAAGCGGGGAAAGTATATGAGGAGATAAACTGCAACGTTTTTGCTGACTTTTCTGGAACAAAAAGACAGAACTGAGTGCTCTTAAGACTGTCAGGATGCATAGCAGTAAAATCAATACTGATTATACCATTATCTTAAAGTATTACCAATAAAAGAAAAGCATTTCGATTAAGAGGAATTATAGCAGCCTTTAGACTATTAGAAATTCAGAAAAGTGAATGTGATTTTGGTTTCCACTAGCATCTGAGCTCTCCAGTAGCAATAGGAGCTTCATTGCAGAAAGAACCATGCAGTTGAACCTGATTTTCTGTGTGCTCCTGCTCCCTTTTTTTTGCTGACAAATCTGGTGGGATGGTGAAATGGTTTTCTGAATTAAAGACATTGGTATTCATCCTTTTAGAAAGCTTATTGGCAAGGTATGTTAAGTGCTCTTATATAGGTGTAAGTCTAGAATAATCTTTCTTCTTTAATGCTACCATGTAAATCAGTCTTAATGCCCCATTAAAATAAATGAATATTTGTTAGTGGTACCAACTTAGGCATCTTTCCTGAATGGCAATTGGGGCTGGGAATATGGAGTTATTCTGTGTCCAATGGAATGTGCTCATTGAGACTGGCTTGCTCTGTCATGGACAAGCTAATCAAACATAGCTCAAACAGAAATCCAAATCAATCTCTTAATCAGTGACTCAATCCAGCAGTTCCCAGCCCCTGCAATCAACCTGGTAATTGCTTCACCTGGAACTGCCTATGGGCACTGGAAAGTTGAGGTCTGGTACATTTTACAAAGCCTGATGAATTTCAGAGTAAATTTTTTTGTATCATTGACAAGATATTTAACCCTTAGCATAGTTTCCTATTTTTCTTTTTTTCTAGGCTGGGTTTCAGCCTTGTGAGGCCGGAGTTTTTCAGTTTTCCAGAGGAGGAAATCAAGGTTAACAGAAGTTATTTTATCCAAATCACATGGCCATTATGCATCACAACCAGAATTCAAGCAACTTTTGTTTTATGGAGTGTGTGCTTTCTAACCCATTATCTTTGGTCTATGCTCATTCTGAGAGAGGGTCACCTGAGTGCAGCTGAGATGAACAATGTGGATAGACTTGTGTGTCACCAACATCTTAGGTTGAAAGAAAATTCCAAAACCTCAAATCCATGCTTCTGCAGCTATTTATAGTTATGTTGATCTAACTTGTTTATACAGACTGATAATGAAAATTAATTACTTGTTATGAGACTGTCCTAGCACATTAACCCCCTCAGGATTTCCAGTTAGTTCTGTTAATGTGCTGTGCTTCCTTCTGTCTTACGTCTTCTGTATTTTCTCCAACCTCTTAGCATTGACCTTGTGGTTGGCATTCTTTTTGTCGTTAATTTTTTTTTTAAATTTTCCTCCTCCCTGGCCTGCCAGGATAATGTGTTTTCTTTTAAACAAGAACAAAGGAAATGTTTGCATTTATGGGCAAATTATGCTTTTCCTCTTTTATAAGATAATCCAATCATCTTCTGACCATTAAGCTTCATCAAGGCTGTAAAATTTGACGGGTATCTGAAGACTAACATTTGAAGTGGAACAACCTTAAACAGGAAGTACATGCTTGACACCTCTTACAAAGAAACTAATGAACAATTGTTGCATACCTGCCATGTGAGGTTTTGTGCTGGGCTGCAGCAAGTTTCAAAGATGCAGAAGGCAATGAATCTTTGTCCCTCTAGACAAGGTTAAATCCTGTTCCCATATGTTCCCATAGCTTCCCTTTGACATTTTTCACAATTGAAATTATTTGTTGGACTGTCTTCTTCTAATAGATAATTCCATGAAGGCAAGCATCATGGTTAATCTGCTGGCTGCTGTCCCTATAACAGGGTTTCAGACACAGGATTACACTCAACATATTTAATTGCCCAGTTCACCATCACAGATTCAATTACCAATTAAACACTTAATCTTATAGAAGGTATGATGCTTGACATTATGGGTTAAAAAGAGGCATTACAAACCATTCCTTTTATTGTAAACACACAATTTAGTGGGAAAACTGTCAGAATGCATAATATTTATTACACTGTTAAATAGATGATAGAAGTATATACAGGGTGCCATGTGCTGGTTAGGTAGCAATATTGTTAATGTAGTCACCATTGATTGTAACTTAGCAAGTGTGTTACATACATTATGTGATATCAATCATATATCCTTCCTAGTCTGCAATTTTCTTAGTTTTTACAGATGATGACTAGAACAGTTCTAGGCCACACAGTCACCAAGTGACAGATAAGAGATTTGAACCTAAACTGTCTGACTCCAAAGCCAATGCACTTGCTCCAGAAGCATACCAAATTATGTGATCATCTCCAAACCTCTGTAGGAAGGGACAACTAACCCAGATTTGAGCGTCGGAGCCCAGCAAATCTCATGAACAGGGAGATGCCTCAGAAATTGTCAAGGGGTCAGCATTCAGGCAGGTAAATCTTTTAATCAGCAGGAACTACAAGTGCAAAGGAAAGAATTTACATTTCAGGAAGTATGGGTAGTGGAGGATATATGACTTGATCACAAAAGGGCTTATTTACTATATGATGGGATTTATTTTTATTTTGCAGCTCTAGGAGGAGCTTAAGCTGACAGATTCATGTAATTGGATTTACAGGTTACTAGGGCAATAAGGTGGGAGATAAGGTTTTGTGCAGAGCAGTAGTGAGATTTTATGCACTTAGCATTCACTTAGCAGATATTTGTTGAGACTGTGCTTCTATAACAAACAGTGCCTCTGCTCTGTGGAGATAGACAAGAGGCAAGGGAGTAAATAAGATAATTAAGGACTGTGATAGGTCTTGTGGTAAGAATGAACAAGATGGTGGAGATGGTAGAAAGCCATGTTATAAAGCATTCAACTTAGGAAAGTTAAGAGTGCCTGAGAGGAAGCTGTACTTGAGATGACATCTGAAGAATGGAGGAGGGACCAGTCACACTGCTCAGATCCTGAGACCAGCAAGTGTGAAAGAGAAAGTCTGAATAAGTAGGATGAATTGAAGGGAGCTACCTGAAGTAATGGTGTGAAGGGTGCTTGAATAGATATTGGTATGAAATCTTTCATGGCCATGTTAGCCATAACAAGCAGATGAGAATCTGAATGAGTTTAAAGGTTAACAAGTTGGGCTAGGTGCGGTGGCTCACACCTGTAATATCAGCATTTGGGAAGCCGAGGGAAGTAGATGACAGGAGGTCAGGATTTCAAGACCAGCCTGACCAACATGGTGAAATCCGCCTCTACTAAAAATACAAAAATTAGCTGGGTGTGGTGGCAGGTACCTGTAATCCCAGCTACTCAGGAGGCTTAGGCAGGAGAATCACCTGAGCCCGGGAGGTGGAGGTGGCAGTGAGCCGAGATCATGCCATTGCACTCCAGCCTAGGCGACAAGAGCGAAATTCCATATAAAAAAAAGCAAGTTGGTTTGATTTGCCTTTTAAAACCATCACTTTGCATGCTTGCCTAAAGAAGTTATTTCCAGCTGTAATGACAGTGGTTCAAACACATCAGAGTTAGGTCTAAGAGAGATTGAGAGGGTGGGGGTAAGAGAAGAGAAGAGACAGAGAGAGAAGGCAGTGATGCAGTCTGGCTCAGTAGAATCATGAGGGACCTAAGTCCCTGTCTTTTTCTCTGCTCTCTTTGGCCCTGAATTGCATCCTGAAATGCATGAGACAGCTGCTGCAACTCCAGCATCCCTTCTCTCTTCCTGATGAAAAGTAGTGGGGGCGGGGAGAGAGGTAGTAGCATCATATGTCAGCTATTTGTTTGTTCCTTTGTTCCATTTTTGTGGAAAATTTGCCCACTGACTTCCAAATAATTAGCTACTTCTAGCTCCAAGGGAAACTGGGAAATACAGCCTTTTTAGCGGAGTACATTTCTACCCAGAAGAAAATCAGATTTTTGTTAAGTACAGTTCCCTAAAGGGAAGGCAACCAGCAACTTCTGCTGCATATGCTCTGTGGTGAAGGGATTGGAGGAGGCAGAGAATATAAACGAGAAAAGGGCTATTGAAAACATCTAGACAGCTAAAATTTTTGGCTCAAGCTACATTGGTGATGTAAAGGTGATGGGGTAAAACCAAAGATGGAGAAAGGGTGTATCAGAAAGCTATTTTAAAGCCAGAGCTGACATGATTTCCTGAAATTTCTTTCTCCCTCAAGCAGTTGAGGAATTGAAGAAAACTTCTTAATTTTTTTTAGCATATTGCTTTTTTATTTACTGATGTTAAGAAGTAAAAAATGAAAAGATGCAGCAAATTACTACAAAGGATGAGGAGAAATTAGATAGACTTATTTGATTTGTAAATAACACTTCTTTTTCTTAAAGGAAGCTAGCAGATAACCATGTTACCTGCAGAGAATCTAAGTGCTTCTTGTGAGAAAGGACTCTCAGGAGAGTGAGGAGACTCTTTATTCCTTTCTTCAAAACCTGAAATTCACACCATGCTAGGTTTCATGCATTTGACAGTTTCCCAGTGTGGATAAATTTTATAGTTACTTTGATAATAAATAGACTCACCAGAGCTAAAAAGGAGAAAAGAAAAAATGCAATGCTGTGCAAATTTAGGGAAGGGGCCATTTTAGCAGCTTTCAATCTATTTGACTAAATGTAATATAAAAAATTTCTTGTCAAATACAGCCCAGCAAATACTAAACAATATTGTTATGAAACAGAAAATCAGGTTGTGCCACCTTATGAATCTAGGTAGATTGACAAGTCTCACAATTAAAATTCAAACATGTAGATGCAATAAAGCACATCCACATCGTGATGTCACTGCAGGAGTTTTTACAACATAGTAAATGGAAATATTCAAGAAATTGATGCACATGCAATATAGCAGAATTTGTTCTCAACATAATATTTGTCAACCTACCTGGGGAACTACAGGACCAAAGAGAACCTTTTTCAAGAATGAAGATTGCACACAGAGCCCTCATCGTTAGTGTTAATTTAAACCAGTTTAATTTCAACAGTGCTCTGTATATTTCTCAGTACGAAAGGGCACTGGGTAAACACTTAAGAGACTTGAGTTTGAGCCCGGTTCTACTACTCCCAAGCTTTGTGATGTTGAAAAATGCATATTAGTTCTCTGATCCTCGGTTTTCTCTTTTAACATTGGAAATGTTTCTCCTTTATCTCAAATATTCAACATTTTTTTGATAAGAACATTAGAAATTTTCTCAGCAATATTTCAATATACAGCACTCAATTATTAGCTATATTCAGTATGCTGTACTACTGATCTCAAAAAGAATGAAACTTATTCCTCTTATCTTCAGGCTTTAAACCCTTTCACTAACATCTCCATATTCCCCCTACTTTCAGCCCATGGTAACCATTATTCTACTTTTTGTTTCTGTATGTTCAATTGCTTTAGGTTTCCACATATAGGCAAAACATGCAGTATCTGTCTTTCTGTATCTGGTTTGTTTTAATAGAATAATATTCTCCAATTCCATCTTGTTGTCACAAATGACAGTTTTTCCTTTTAAGGCGGAATAGTGTTTGTTCTGTTGTATATATACACCATACTTTATCTATTCTAAACTTATTTAAAGAAAGTTCAACCACCCTTTCTTTATTCTTCTGTTGATGAACAAACATTTAGGTTGATTCTACAACTTGGTTATTAAGTATAGTGATGAAGTGAACATGGGAATGCAGATATGCCTTAGACATATTAATTTTATATATTTTGAGTAAATATCCAGAAGTGGGATTGCTAGATTATGTGGTAATTATATGCTTACTATTTTGAGGATCCTGCATACTATTTACATTCCCACCAACAAGGTACAAGGGTTCTCTTTTCTCTACATTCTTGTCAACTTTGTTATCTTTTGCCTTTTTGATAACAGCCATTTTAATAGGTGTAAAGTGATATATTATTATAGTTTGAATGTCTATCTCCCTAGTATTAGCGGTGATATTAGCATTTTTTTTAATGTAGCTGTTAACCACTTATGTGTCTTCTTTTGAGAAACATTTATTTGGGTCTCTTGGTCATTCCTTGATTAGATTATTTTCCTTAATGGAGAGTTGTTTGAATTCCTTAGGTATTTTTATGCTAATACAATTATTAGATGTATGGCTTACAAATATTTTCTTCCAATCCATAGGTTGTTTCTTCACTGTTAATTGTTTCCTTTGATTTGCAGAAGCTTTTCATTTTGATGTAATCCTATTTGTCTGTTTTTGTTGTCTGTGCTATTGGAGTTAAAACTAATATCATTACTCAGATGTTGTACAGACTGTTTTCCCTGTGTTTTTTTCTAGCAGACTTACAGTTTCAGGCCTTATGTTTAAGTCTTTAATCCATTTTTTGTTGATTTTTGTATGTGGTGTGAGATAAGGGTTCAATTTCATTGTTTTGCATGTGGATATCCAGTTTTCCAAATACTTATTTAAGATACTGTCTTTCCTATCCTATATTATTGGCATCTTTGTTGAAGGTTACTTGACCATAGATGCAGTGGCTCTTTTCTAGGCTCTCTATTCTGTTCCATTGGTTGATGTGTCTATTTTTATGCAGATACTATGCTGTTTTAACAATTATTGTTTTGTAGTATTGTTTAAAATTAGGTAGTGTGGCCTTCCAGGATTGGTCTTTTAGCTTATACTTGCCTTACTTGTTCAGATGTGTGTATATGCATGTGTGTCGGGAGGGCTTCCATATGAATTTTAGAGCTGTACCTTCTCTATGAAAAATGATACTGAAATTTTGATAGAAACTCTATTGATTCTGTAGATCACTTTGAGTAGGATGAACATATTAACAAAATTCTAATTCATGAACACAGGTAATCTTTCCAATTATTTGTGCCTTCTTTAATTTCTTTCATTAATGTTTTATAGTTTTAGTGCACAGGTCTTTCACATTCTTGGTTAAATTTATGCCTAAGTGTGGTATTTTTTGTTTTGCTTTTGTTTTTGTTTTGCTATTGTAAATTGATTTTTTTTAAAAAAGTTTGTTAGTGTAGAGAAATGCTACTAACTTTTGCATGTTGAGTTTTGTTTATTGCAACTTTATCAGCTTTGTTTGGTGGATTCTTTAGGGTTTTCTATAGATAAGAAACTTCTCTACAGACAGACAATTTAACTATTTCTTTTCCAATTTGGATGACTTTTAGAAAGTAAGATTTTCTTACTGATGTCCAGAGAAGTAAGCATATTGGTGCTTTGACCATGTGGGTGATATTAAGTTATTGATACTATTATTGACAAACAACTCAAAGTTAAGTGTGAAGATATTTTTTTTTGAAACAACTACATTTATTTGTTGTTTCTAATAATAGTAATAATTTACCCTCTTGATGGGTGAATTCAGGCTACAGATACAGAATACACATGTATGCATAGGCATACATATAATACATAAAATATGCATAGATAATACATATATATGCACAAACAATATACATATTGTACCAATTGACAGGTTTAGCCATTTTGCACACGAATATATATATTTACACACAAACAGATGTAAATTAAACATACATTTTTTTTCTCCACTATGATGTTTCCTTGTGATAATTTCTGAAAATTAAATCAGTTGCCTAGTAATTTCATACAACTATACAGGCTCTTGGATTTCTCAAAAAGTCACATATTTTTAAAGGGCATCAGCAGAAATGGCTTAATTTTTAGGTGAGCCATAGACTTTTCAGTTTATTGTAGTTCCTGTGACTCTCTGTGGGCTTAATTTTGCGTACTTGGCTCCTGATGATACTGAAGTTTTCTGTTCTGGGGTTAGAGCAGCAATTCCCAAACATTTTGGCACAAGGGATTGGTTTTGTGGAAGACTTTTCTATGGACTGGGGGGTGGAGGATAGTCTGGGGACGATTCAAGTGCATTACATTTATTGTGCACTTTATTTCTATTGTTATTACATGGTAATATATGATAAAATAATTATACTGCTTACAACAATGTAGAATCACTGGGAGCCGTGAGGATGTTTTTCTTCAACTTGATGGTCCCATCTGGAGGTGATGAGTGATGGTGACAGATCATCAGGCATTAGATTCTCATAAGGAACATGCAACCTAGATCCCTCCCATGTGCAGTTCATGATAGGATTTGTGCTTCTATGAGAATCTGATGCCGCCTCTGATCTGACAGGAGGTGGAGCTCAGGTGGTAATGCCAGTGATGGAGAGTGACTGGAAATATAGATGAAGCTTTGCTCGTTCACTCTCTGCTCACTTCCTGCTATGTGGCCCAGTTCCTAACAGGCAGCAAACTGGTAGCACTCTGTGGCCTGTGAGTAGAGAACCCCTGGGTTTGAATATGATTTGATGTTGGCAAGTGCAACCAGTTAGTTCATTGCTTCTGATAATGTTAATTGGTCATGCTAGTCATTTAAAAAATATGTACAACCATCATAGGGTAGGCCATTCAAGAATTAATGCTTAAGTGAGACCAACAATTTCACTTTTGTTT